CAACGCTTTTTGAATCGAAGCAGCTGGAGGTATCGGTAGTACGATTATGTAACCGTCTCAATTTCATCTTGTGAAGTACATAAAGGGAGAATGGCAGAGATAAAGACAGAGACAAGGGCAGAGACAAAGACATATATAAAAATACAGAGGCTAAGATTGATATTAAGAAGGAGATGAAGGTGAAGGTGAAAATGAAGATGTAAACTAAGACGTAGATAAAGGATAAGATGAAGATGAAGCTAAAGATGATTATTACGATGACGATGACGATGAAGTTGAAGGTAAAGATAAAGATAAAGAAAATTATGTGGGAAAAGGTATAGGTGAATATTAAGATAAATATAGAGATAAAATTAAAGATGAACATAAGGATAAAGGCAAATATGAAGATAGAAATAAAAATAAAGATAAATAAGATAATTACAGAGAAAAAGACAATAAAGGTAATGAAAAATGTAAAGAAAGGAATTGAAAGATTGATATTAAAAAAAGATAAATGTTCAAATAATAAGTAAACTAAACAGTTTATTATAAAGAAGCAGAATAAAAACAAGTAATTTAAAAACAATTTTTTTAAGGCAAGCTTTTATTACGTTCTAAATATGAAACAAATCGGACCATAAATATCTCGACACCCGCGCCACCTAGCGGCTTAATTCATCCTTCATATTCATGATGACAATTTTGGTACTAAAAGCTGAAAGAAAACATGGATTACTTCGTAAGGTGCTTACCTATTTTCCCAGCGGGCCAGATCTCTAACTCATATTCGTCATTTGTATTTGTGTTTAAGTGATGTATAGCTCACTCATACTCACCAATTACACTCGCCCACACAAAACATCCCTGATTTTGTATGTAGTTTTTCATGAGTACATATGTATGTACATACATATTACAAGTACTTTTAGATGAAATGTACAGAGTTTTGTGAAGCAAAAATACATCGGAGATTAATAGGTAATGGAATTTGTTGAATTTTTGGTCATTAGCCTAGATGGTATATACACAAATACATAACTGTACATAAACAAGCACATGCTATTTACATACATACATACATACATACATAAGTATAGAAAAGATCAAGAACTTTTGAAAAAAGTGTATCGTAGTGGCGTCCTTGACAGCGAGAGAGCGAGAGGAAAAGGTGCGCCAGAGCCACATTGCTGTTAGTCACAAACATATTTAAGAGCATTTCAATGTGTATGTATGTATTGTACATCCGCTTAGTGCTCAACGTACAATACACAGAGCCATTTGGCGTTGATCGTCATCTTGTTTCCGCCACCGCTGCATCCGCTAATGCGAGCAAACGAGCGGCCGATACATCGCAATGGAATGCCAACGTTTATTTGCTTCAATTGTACTATTTTGATGGCGCATGACGTTGCCGGGGTGGTTGATGGTTGATGATATTGGCGCTGATCTTGACCGGGTATTGCCGTGATCGGAAACAGAGGCAAAAAACGTAAATATGTATGTAGCTGAAAATGGAGTGAATGTTCACATGAAAATTTTGCACACAAAAATTGGAAAATTGTTTGTTTACATATGTACGCATCAAAATTGAGGCAGGTGTACGAATTAGCAGTTGTAGGTAAACATTGATATATGTATATGTAAATAATTTGTTATGCCGACTGACGTCACCAATGTATAATGACGCGCTGCCATTATTTTTAGGTCGTTCTGGGCTATTTTAGATTATTTTTGGAACTTTTACTCTATTTTAATTCAAATCAATTTTAATTATTATTGTTAGCCGATTGAATAATTCTAGCTTGTTTATATCTTTTTGCCAGCGTAGTTTTGCGCGCTTTCGTGTAAACAATGTAAAAGGATGAACATTGAGTTTTTATTTACTTTTGCGAATGATGTACATATGTATGTACATGTATGTATGTATGCAGTGTTTGAATTGAACGAGCTAGCATAGTATTTGTATATGAAAGTGTTCATTGGAGGCCATGGAAAATTTTTAGCGAAAAACAAATGTAGCAAAAATTTCCATCAATGGCATTGTAGATAAATTGTTTGTAGTATTTAATGGAATTTACTACGATCAATGTGCCATTGTGGGAACATTCATATGTACTTATGTACATGTGTGCTTGTATTATAACTTTGAAGGAAAATTGTGGTCAGCGCACATAAGATTTTAGCATTCCTTTGTGATTACGAAAATCTCGCAAAAATATTGCATGTTTGCTTACTTATTCAAGAGCTAATATTTTTTTTTTTGAATTTTTCGCATACATATTATCATATACATGCACAGTTTTGACTACTTTTCTTTTGCTTTTTTAAGGTTTATTAATTTTTTATTCAAGTTCAGCTCCTTATCTAACAAAAGCCATATAAGCCCAAATTTCAAACTTTGTACAAAACTTGCTTAAAACTGCACAAACTTTTCATCCCATTTCTAAGTATTTTAATTGGAATTTCTGAACTCATTTTTGATATGCCGTTTTAGATTTTATTAAAATCTACTATAATAAAGTGATAGTTGGAAGTTGCTAAAAAATCGAATTTAATTTTGATATTTTTTTTCTGACGCTGTTATGCACTCTTTTCCATATAAAAAGTTACTTTGTGTGGAAGAAAATGCGTGATACCGTCAGCAAAAAAATTATCAAAATTCAACGCGATTTTTAGATACTTTAAACTTGCACTTTATTGTACTAGAATTTAATAAGCTATAAAACTGCATACCAATAATTATTCTTATTTTTGTACGAAGTCTGAAATTTTTTTGGTATTTGTTAGATTTATATAAAAATAATAAACTTCAAACAATCAAAAAATAAATAGTCAAAACTGTTCTAAATGTTTAGGTGCTATCGATTTGACGCGGGCTGTGTGTACATTAAGGTGCGTAAAAGTAAAGTCGGAATTCGAATGCTCTCCCCCCTAGGATTGTTCTGTACTGAAAAAATTATACCCCAGTTTTTTTATTTTGAAATCAGAAAATATTTAGAGGGCGCTCAAAGCGCCCAAAGTTTTCCATGTACCCTCCTAGTAAGCAATGCATTTCCCTTCGTTTGGTGTTTTCCCTTATTGTGCTGAAAGGAAGGGCTCAGATCGTTTCGGGGTCGCGGCAGCAGCAATTCTGGCTAACTGATCGGCTTCCTCATTTTCTCTGAATCCAATATAGACCGTACCTGAAAAAAAAGTTCGCCATACACCTTCGAATCTGAAATATTTTTTTGCAGGGCAATTTCGAAAAATTAATTTTTTTTGGTCTAAGGTGGAACGGTCTAATATACATACATCCTGATACATTCATATTTTGTATTATTCTTAATCTGCAAATGGACTTTGATTGTGAAAACTCTGTTCGTTGTCAATACAAAAATGTATGTACATTTATACATACATACATTTGTTAGCATTTAGTTACTATAAATATGTACATTTGCATATACATACATTAGGGTGGTCGTAAAATGCATGTGAAAATGCAAACAAATTTTTAGTATTAAAAAAATGGTTAAATAAGCAATGAGGTATTGTAACTCGAAATCTCCTGAAGAGAATCAGAATTTTCCGATCGAAAAATATTGACTTTCAATACGTCTATACCATTTCTACGAAAAGTGGTTTTTGAGCGCTTTGAGCGACCTCTAAATATTTTTTGATTTGAAAATAAAAAGAAATTGGGCTATATTTTTTCGATATAGAACAATCCTAGGGGGTGAGAGCATTAAAATTCAGACTCTACTTATTTTGGACCATCCTAATATACATAGATAGATTGATAGATAGATATATATTAGTAGCGTAAGCACTACGACCAGTAGGACTATTGTGCCCATACATATGTATATGGTAACATAAATACATACTAAGCCGTATTACGAAAAAAAGGTTAGCGTGTGTTAGTTTTATTTGAATACTTACGGCGAGAAAAAGTTTTGTGTGTAATTTTTTTTATGCTCCCGCTAAAAACCGCTAAATCGTGTTTTTTGTAATAATAATAGCATCCTGCAGTGGAATTCTAATAATCGCTATGCTCAATTTTCGTCGCCAAATTTCTCTAAATGAAAAGAAGTGGCGCCTAAAAGTATACTTACAACATGGAAAAGTAACATATAAAATGTGTAAACAGCGTTAAATCTAGCAGTATGAGGGGCATCCAACTATGAAGATTTTTCTAGTTGCTTAGGCGCGCCTGCGATTCTTATGGGGATTTGTGGCAATCAAAATTTTCGATAGCGAATGTCGGAATCCGGCTGCTGGTCACTTCACTTGCCCAGCCATTTTTGGAAAAATTCAGATTTTTTAGGTTTTTTGTGTGGTTAAATTTCAATGAAAATCTTTTGGAACTAGTGCAGGTTTCTGTCCCGTTGAGCCCTGATTACATTTCTAAAATCAGCGCAATTTTTTTTTCACCCATGACGGCTCTAACTACCCTCCAAATAGAAGCATTTTTCTTTTATTATCATACACATTTTAGTGTTGAGAAAAAATTTTCCTTCAAGGCATAACCGAAAATATTTAAATGTAAAATTGTTTGGCCAGCTGATGTAAAATGACTGATAAGCAATTTGCTTCATAATAATAATAATAATAATAGATTGGCGCTTACACATATGTTAGTGTTTGGCCGAGCTTCTCCTCCGACTTGTGGCGTGCGCCTTGATGTTGTCACACAAAGCGGAGGGACCTACAGTTTTACGCCGACTCCGAACGGCGATTGTATTTTTGTGAGAAGCTGTTTTTCATGGCAGAAAAACACTCGGAGGTTTGCCATTGCCTGCCGAGGACGATCGCTGTTAAGAAAAAACATTTTTTCTATATTTTTTTGCAATGTTGCTTTGACCAGGGTTTGAACCTAGGTGCTGCGGCGTGGAAGCGCGCACTGCTTACCACTACGCCACAGCGGCCGACAATCTGCTTCATACAACGCATTCATATTTTTGAAAATTTCGGCAGCACTCACTGATAGACTCAAACAATTGATAAGATTTTTATATGCTTATTCACAAAAGGCTTGAGCCCAAACTGGACCTCTGGCACTTAGTCTATGCGTATGCAACTATCCAACCGAAATGTGCCAGTCAGTGTTTCAAAAATGTTCCTAATGTTCGGTCTACTTGTGACTACGGCGATACTAACCGCCATTGCGCTCATATATAAACTAAAGTATAAGTATTTGATTGATGTGACCAGTGACATACCATCAGCGCCGGCATTGCCCATCATAGGTCATGCTCTGTATTTTATAAATAAGCCATCGCATAAGAAAATAGAAAAACTCCGCGAATTCCTTAACACCTATGGCAATACAGTTAAAGTGTGGTTAGGTCCTGAATTGAATATAATGATGGCTGATGTGAAGGATGTGGAAGCGATTTTGGGTTCGATGGCATTTCTTGAGAAGGCAGGCGAGTATAAAGCATTGGAGCCGTGGCTGAGAGAAGGGCTGCTCGTAAGTCGTGGACGCAAATGGCATAAGCGTCGGAAGGCCATAACGCCAGCTTTTCATTTCAACATCTTGGCTCAATTTATTGAAGTGTTCGAGCGCGAATCGCGAGTTTTGGTAGCTAATTTGGAACGTGAGCGACAGATGCAAGGAAGTGAAGGATGCAATTTGTACGATTGGATAAATTTGTGCACGCTGGATACGATATGTGGTAATGGGGGAGTGAAAAGGGAGATGGGACGGGTTTTAACGAGATTATTAAAGTTTTTTTTTTTTGATAATCTGGAGCTGATAACGCCTTCACTGACTTAGAAAGAAAATCGATAACTTTCTAAAACCCTATCACCTACATATTTCCATTTAAAAGTTAGGTTTGAAATTATATTTTATCTCCCTGTTCATTATATTAAAAAAAAAACTCGTTCAGATCTACGATTTTTTAGAATTTAAATTTCTAATTTTTGAAGAATGAAAGCGTTGAATTTTTTCTCCATTACGTATATACATCAAACAAAAAACTACTGTTATATCTGTTCTTGTATTAATTGCGTTGAATCTGTACGATCCACAAGCCCACTTTAGATCTAGGTGTGCGATATGACCGAAAAAAAACACAAAATAATAAAAAAAAAGATTTAAAATGTATCGGAAAAATTAGAGTTAGATAATATTTTGTACAAGACGCAAGGTGGTTTACATATAAATTCCATGGTTCTATCATCTTAAAATCTAAACTTTATACAGGAAGTGTCTGAGCCAAGCTTTGACTAAAGTTGTTTTTCATTATTTCCCCGATAAACTGACACTCTAAGACATGAGTGCATATTTTCTTAATTTCAGAAACTGCCATGGGTGTATCCGTGCATGCGCAAACCAATGCCGATTCGGAGTATGTGCAGGCGGTTAAAACGTAAGTTTTACACATGTAAGGAATTTTTATCTAAGAAAAATTTAATTGAAAATTGCAGCATATCTACCGTGACACACAAGCGTATGTTCGACATTATCTATCGCTTCGACTTCACTTATCAGTTCACCAGTGTGGCACGCGAAGAGAAATGTGCCTTAGCTGTGCTGCATGGCTTCACCGAACGTATTATACTGCAGCGCCGCGAAGAGTTGTTGTGCAAACACAACGCCACCGCTGACATGGCTGCCAGTGCCGAAAAGAGCAAAGCGAATGACTACACTACAACCGAAGTGGATAACGACAACGATGTGGGCGCTAAGCGTAAGCAAGCCTTTCTCGATATCCTGCTACAGTCACAGATCGATGGTAAACCTTTGAGCAATTTGGATATACGCGAAGAGGTCGACACATTCATGTTTGAGGGACACGACACCACCTCTTCGGCCATCAATTTCTTCTTCTACAATATCGCCATCTATCCGGAGTGTCAAAGCAAGTGTTTCGCGGAGATTGTTGACATTTTGGGTACGGATAAAAGCAAGCCGGTTACCTATGACATATTGAATAAGCTGAACTATGTGGAGTTGTGCATTAAGGAGACGCTACGGATGTTCCCTTCGGTGCCGCTGTTGGGACGTAAAGTGACGCAGGAGTGCGAAATAAGTGCGTACAACTTGAAATTTTCATGCGGGCTTGGGGGCATGATTATTAGGTATTTAATTTTTTTTTTTTAAGATGACAAAGTTCTTCCCGCTGGCACTAACATCGGCATTGCACCATTCCACCTGGGACGCCAGCCGCATCTCTTTCCCGAGCCGAACAGCTTCAAGCCAGAACGATTTGATATTTCGAATGGCGCTTCGAAAATAACCCCCTACGCTTATATACCTTTTTCGGCGGGTCCGCGTAATTGCATCGGCCAACGTTTCGCTGTTTTGGAGGTAAAGAGTGTTGTGACGAATGTGCTGCGGCATTTCGAAATCGAGTTTGTCGGTGATAGCACAACAGAGCCGATACTTATTGCTGAGTTGATATTGCGCACGAAAGATCCGCTAATGTTTATGCTGAAACCGAGAGTTTATTAGCCAGGGGTGAGAATGAGAGAGGCGGCGTGATAGATACATTTTAGGTGCAAGTAGAAATTTTGCTGTCTTCAAGAAAGTATTCATTTAGTGCCATACATTTTTGTACCAAATATATATGATAAGTGTTTTTTATAAAATATAGCACTTTCTAAAAAAATTATATTATATGTTTTTTTTTGCGAAAATCTTTTTTCCCCAAGTTGTCAAAGGGCTAAAACGCCAGTTACAATTAAAAACTGAGCACGAATTGTTGGTGATATAAGATTTTTATCATTTATAAATTGGACATAAATGTTTTCTCCTTTAAAAACTGGGCATAAATTCTTACCATTTTAAAAATCGACACAAACTTCTGCTTATTTAAAAATTATACATAAAATGGTGGTCATTTCAAAATAGAACATTAATGTGTGGCCAATTGAGAAGCTTGAAAAACTTTTGTAGATGGTTGCCATCTCTTTGAGAATTCGAATTTAATTTATTTATACAAAAGTTATGTAAAATACGAAAATACGGGTGTCAGACAAGAGAGTGTTAAGAAATCTTTAGTTTTAGAATTTAAAATGTTTGATAGGGTTGCCAAGTATTTAAAAATTACATTCAAATTATTAACAAATTGGATGAATTTATAAAAGATGGGTATCAGTCGAAATTGGTTGAAAAGGCTGTAATAAATTTAGGAGGGTTGCCACCTGTTCAAAAGACCTATCTAATCTAGAATTAGGGCGGTTTGAAATGTCGAATTTAAATGGGTTTGAAAAGATTTTATTTCTGATATATATTTAGGAGAGTTGCCACATGTTTCAAAAGTCAAATTCAGCTTAATTCATCAGTTAATTGCAATTTGTATCACAATGCCAGACGAAAAAGGTTTAAAATAGTTTAAGTTTAAAATATTTTGAAGAGGGTTGCCACCTATTTGTAAAGCCGAACTTAGTTAAATAATACACAGGTTATA